GTGTTTTTGAAACCATTAGTGAAAAGGCCAGACTTCAGGGGTATCTGAGGCAGGCTTGAAACACAAGAGTCAGGGTGGCTTCTGGGTAATACCAGATGGCTAGGCCTCAGACTGACGAAGCCTCTTGGATGAGGGGCGAAACGTTTCTTTTTAACAAAAAACGAAGTCCAGATGACATGATTCAACCTTTTTTGTTGTTATATACCTGGATGACTGAGAAAACAAACTTGGTGTTTTTGAAACCATTAGTGAAAAGGCCAGACTTCAGGGGTATCTGAGGCAGGCTTGAAACACAAGAGTCAGGGTGGCTTCTGGGTAATACCAGATGGCTAGGCCTCAGACTGACGAAGCCTCTTGGATGAGGGGCGAAACGTTTCTTTTTAACAAAAAAAACGAAGTCCAGATGACATGATTCAACCTTTTTTGTTGTTATATACCTGGATGACTGAGAAAACAAATTTGGTAAATTGAAATAAGTTTTTAAACACTTGAAATAATATCGTAAAGAAATATTCTTGAAAACCAACACTGACTGATCAAGACCCAGTGTCCATCAGAGAGGACAGATGTTTGAAGTGGGCTGTGGATTATTTTGCAGCGGACTGATAAGGATGAAATGTAAAAAAGAAACTAAAATCAAACACTGACTGAAGAGTGAAAATAAAACATTTACAAAAAGGAGGAACAAAAAGACAAAATGTTATTTTTATATTTAATTTGAGGTTTCTCAATTATACTTGAGCTCCGTATGTAGAAGCTGTAAAACAGAAGCGCTCTGGTTCAGATGTGAAGCTGAGTCTTGGAACAAACAGTCCTCCACTAATGTCTCGGTCTTCATGCAACAGTTTCTCTCGCGCTCGGTGGTTTCTGGATGACATTGGCTCAAGGTCATGTATAATAAACGTGTTAAACGATTATCTGAGATTATTATGCTCGTCACACCTCCTTCCTGCTCCACCTCGGTCTGCTGCCGCTCCTCCTTCGTTCCTAATGTGCTGTAATAATGTTCATCAAAGCATCATGTCACCTGACAGGCAGCTGGGATTGACAGACAGGTGAGGGGGAAGGGGGGGCATGATCAGGTGTAAAAATCCATCACTTCATCAGTTTGTCAATGAATTCTGACGTTAACTCTCCCTCAGGGTGTAATAAAGCATCGCCGTGTCTCTTCCTCTAACTTCTTTCCTTCATTTGAGCAGCATCCCACCTCAGCTCCCAGAGTCGATCGGAGGAGACGGGTCTGCTTGTGTTCATAAAGCACGACCAGAAGGACGACTGGAGATGGCTCTGCGACATAATGAAGTTGTTTGGATGCTGCAGACATGCGAGCAGGACACCATCCAGCTCTCAGGCCCCGGGACATGATGCTCATACAGATGCACAGCACACCTGGTTCTGCACGGCTCGCCTCAGACCCATTTATCCCGTCTGAGCAACACGTGAAGAGATGTGGGTGAAATCAGTGTCATGGCTTGAAGATGACACTGATTCCAGGGGAGGACTTGTTTTATCTAGAATATATGAATACTTCAGTTTATTTAAATTATATTTTTATTTTCATTATGGGAATCGTGTTCTGTTTACCGTGATGACCCCATGTGTGCAGGAAGGCAACGGAGACGCCAAATAAAAAGTAAAATAACTAAATTTATTCTAAAAAACAAAACGCTGGTGGGGCAGCACACACCCACCAGTCTTGAGAGCATAATCCACAGACAGAGGAAGGACCGCAGACACCGAGAGACACCAGCGAGACAAAAGACGAACACCTGGGGTGATTGGGATTACAGACAGATGTGACGAGCGCTGAAACAACAAGGACGACAGCGCAAGAACTCGGAAACCTTTTTAAATATTCAGCTAATCGGACACGTTTTTTGCAGTGAAGCACGCGTTTACATTTGTTTTTTAATAACGTGCACGAACATGTAAAATGCACTAATTTTGTGGAGTCAACGCACAATAATTTGATGAATTGTTAATCTTTCTTGATGGGGAGTGGTGACGCGGAGGTTAGAGAAGGTGAGCCTGTGATCGGAAGGTCGTCGGTTCCGACAACATCAAAATGTGTGTGGGAATAGGTGAAGCAACCACACCTGCCCCCACCATCATTTGCCCCACTCTGGGCCCTTAACCCCCACCATCTGCTGCCCCGGGCACCACATGACAGCCCCCTGCTCCACACAGAGGCTGTGGTAGCTCGGTGGTCTGTGGTGTCAGGACATCCGGAGTCGAGTCAATCTCCAAGTCTTGGTGCGAGTTCGTTCGCTGTGCCACCCCAGAAGAAGAAGAAGAACAGAAATGACCTCTCTGGATAATCTTATTAATTTATTGCGTTGCAAGCGGGAACTCAACTGAAAATAAATTTGAATGAAATAAACAATTCTCAAATAAATTACCAAAGATAATGATTTTTAAAAACAATTAGAAAAATAATTAAAACTAAGAAAAGATTTGTGCATTTTTATTCAACTCCTTCGACCTGCGTGTGAACTGGTCTCAGTATTTATTCTCCTGTTCTAACAGCCCCCAGAGTCATCGCTGGTGTAACGCCTCCAAGCAGTAAGGAAGACCAAGAAGAAACATCATGAAGACCAAGGAACTCTGCACACAGATCAAATACAAAGTTGCAGAGAACAGATCAGAGTTAGACTCTTAAATACTTAGAGCCCTGAACATCCATTAACAAAGGAAAAGATGAATCCACCACAGCAGACCTGCCCACAGACGGTCTTCCAACAAAACTCACAGATCAGGAAGGTGGGCAATGATCCAAGAAACATGAAGCAAGCCAAAGATGACTCTGTTGGAGCTCACAGTGGTCCTGTCGGTCCAGAGGACCACTAGAAGCTGCACAGAAACGGGCTTCGTTGGGAAAAGATTTGCTTAAAGAAAAAGAAGCAGAACTTTTTGGAATTTCTTCCCCGAACATGTGGAAGGAGCTCCTGCTAAAAGATGAGGCCAAACATCAAGAACAACATGTTTGGAGCTAATCTACCACACCTCTCATCACCATCCCCACAGTAAAGCACGGTGGTGGCAGCATCATGCAGCGGAGATGTTCTTCATCAGCACGGACTGAGAAACCGAGTTTAAAGTTCAGAGCCATTATTGAGATGGTTCTGTTAAGTCTTCCAGAGGTTTGAGACTGGGTTGGAGGTTCACCTATGAGCCAAAACACAGAGCTGAAGCAACACTCCAGGGCTTCAAGAAGAACCAGTTAAAGGTCCTGGAAAGTCCAAAGTCCACTTCTCAATCCAGCAGAGAATCTGGTTGAATTTGAAAGTTGTTGGGCGAAAGAAGCACCGTCTAACCTGGAAGCAGTTTGGTCATGAAGAAAGGACAACAAGTCCAGATTAGATGGACCACAATCGTGAAGACAGACCTGAAGGTTTGATGCAGGACCTGCTGCAAATGCAGGCTCGACACACACACACACACACGCACGCACGCACGCACACAGAGAGGTTTGGGGGCTTCTTCTTATGGGGCCCGGGCTTTGGGCCCCATAAGAAGCAGTTGGTCCTCACAATATAGTATAAGTTGGAAAAATGGGCCTTACAAGGTAGCATAAACAAGGACACACACACACAAAACTATTTAAAACATTTTCCCAGTTAATTAATTTCAAGTGTTTTTCTTACATTTATTGTTTTTAATCAAATGAAAATTCCAGTTAAACTCCCGGGGTCACCACAAAAGCAAATTTGCATGAAACGCTCCTCATGATGTCCATCATGCCGTCGTGGTTCAGTTCCAGCCTCGGGCTCGGGCTCAGGCTCCAGCCTGTCATGGCAGCCGTCTCCATGATCCTCCATCTGCCAGCACGGACCAAACTCTACGGACCTGTTTGGCTCCGCGGGGAAAACCTTGGATGCTCTTTGTCTGCTGGACCCGGTTCTGGAGGACAGTCTGTGAGGGCAGCTGCTGCTGTCTTTATTACCACCAAGCTGTGGACCGGACCTGCTAACGAGATCCTCCATCTGCCTGCACACGCAGTACAGACCCGCTCTGTTCTGCAGGGAAACCTGGGATGTTCTGTGTCTGCTGGACCTGGTTCTGGACTGCGGTCTGTGAGGGCAGCTGCTGCGGTCCTTATTACCACCAAGCTGTGGACCGGACCTGCTAACAAGACCACGCCACTAACAGAACAGAACCATGATGTTGAAAGAACCTCACTGCTAACAGAATCACACTGTAGATGTATTTCTTTTCAACTTTGGCGCCTTGTTTTTTTAGTATGTTAGTATTTTTGTAGTATGTTTTTAGTATTTTTGCTGCATGCTTTGGTATTTTTTATTTTTTTTTGGCAAGTCGAGACGGTTCTTCTTGTCCTAAGCATTTCATTGCATTCTTGACCTTGTGTTGATAAACCTAACCTGACCTGATGCCGTCTGGGCTCGAACCTGCAACCTCAGGATGAAAAACCGAAGCTCTAACCACTGAGCTACTGCGGACACAATTACATTGGTGAGGAAACAACATTGCTAAGAGTGATAAGTACGTTGGTGACGCGTTGTAAATTCATGCTCACCTGAGGTAGCTGATTGTTGGTGCAGCTTCCCTGGAGGCCCGTCAGGTTCCTCTCTGGTCCCAGACTGATGCGGTACACAGAGTGCAGGGCTGCTGCTGCTGCCTGAACTTGGGCTCGTCTTTTACTGCGACCACAACCTTCGAACACTCTGCCCTCCAGCCTGATCGCCATTATAAAGTTCTTCGTGGGTCTGCCGTGAACCTTTTCAACCTGACACATGTATCTGAGCCCCGGCCGCAGCTCATTGAGCAGTTCTACTGGACTCAGGTGCTCCAGGAGCGAGGTGCTGGCTGGTCTGCTTGGATTAGTGGAGGAGTCTAAATCCAGAGTCACATGAATCGTCCGCTTGTGGTTGGAGATGCTGGTTAGCACCTCGTTCCTTGTTGCGTCACAGCGAAGGATGTTGTAGTTTCCAAGAAAGGATGCTTCAGGCCCAGCATCGGGCAGGTCCAGTTTATCTGCTGTAAAGTCCACAGTGGTTCTGGTGAACCTCTCCACGGTGCCGTGAGTCTGGGAGGGGTTTGGGAACTGGATGAACGACTGAAGGGCCAGCTCCGCAGCCCTCAGCTTTGCTTGTTTCTTCGTAGGTCCTCGACCCTCGAAGTGAAAACCGTTAACCTCCACAGACACGGAGAACACGGGGGCGTGCAGGGGACCGGTCTTTGACACCGTCTCATACCTCAGACCTGGTCGCAGCTCGTTCAGCTGCACCACCGCGCTCTTCTGAGCTGCCCGGGCGGATCTTTTACAGGTCAGGTGGTTCTGGAAGAACTGCAGGTCACGTCCATCCACCAACAGCTGCGGTCTTTTTAATGTTCTTTGTTTGTGTTTAGAAAAAGTGCAAAAGGTTGGTAGGTGATGTTTCTTTAAAAAGTCCTGCTCCTCCAGGGTTTTCTCTTCCTGATTCTCTTTCACCTCCAAACTGCTGCTACCTGAGGAAGAAGAAGCCATGTCCAAGACGGTTAACGCTCAGAAGGGTCAATCAGGAGGTGAGCTGATGCTTAAATACTAAAAAACATCTATGTTTCTAGTTAACGTGAGGTTGGAGCCTCGTAACCATGAAGCCTGACAAATGATTTTTATTGTCCTGATAAATAAAATCTTAAACAGATTTATTGACATTCTTATAAATAATGTTGTAGTTTAGCACTCCTTTGCACAATAAACTTCAATCCTCTCTGTCGGTTCTTGAGAAATATGTTTGCTTTTAAACTATAACAATAAAATGTTCTAAAATAATGAAATTGTAAATATGCAACAACTGCCAGAATTATGTTTCATGCCTCAGTCCTGCAGAATGAAGACAAACTAATGGCATGATCTGATTATGTGGGCAGACAAAGGTGCAGGAATTACTTGAGTTGTCTGCGTCCTCGGCTGACGGAGCTGCAGAGTCCCAGACTTTCATGGGTCTGATGAGGGTGGAGAAGGTGTTGCTGCTCCATCCTGAAGATCAAGAAGTTTAAAAGTTATCCTCAGCAGGACGTTTGTGACGAACAGACGAATTGAGTTTGTGCTCTTCATTTGGTTTTCAAAAGACAGAATTATTAAAATATCTCAGTGACAGCAGCATGTAATGACAATAACATGCAATATGAGAAATGACTTGTTGTTTTTTGTTTGTTTGATTTTATTTTTTTGCCTCATTTGGTTGAGTCAGTCAAAACTGGACTGATGAATAAACAGTTTTTACGAGGAGCCACTTATTTAACTGCAGTTATAACAAAAATGCTACAAAATCTATTTCTAAAGGTTTGAAAGAAATAATAATAATTTGAAAGGACACCTAATATTTTGGTAACGGTGATGGAGCATTATTTCTGCTGCACAACAGTAAAGCTGGTGAACTTGCTGATAAATGTAATTTATTTTGATTTACAATTTGTATTAAACAATAAGTTTATAGAGTTTTTAGGTTTAACATCTTGGTAATAAACTAAATAACGTGAACAAATAATTATATGCCGATGACATGCTTTTGTACATATCAGATCATCTCACTAGCGTTCCTGAGTTACTTACTTTGCTTCAAACGTTTGGAGAATATCTGGCTTTAAATTCAATCTTCAGAAAATTGAGTTGTGACCTCAGTATAAAAGAAAATGAAACCTGAAACTAAAACTAAATATTTAAACATGATGCTCTTTCAGTTTATTACATGTCTTTTAACTAAGGTTCAATTTTTTGTTTCTTTCTCTAAGTTAAAGTTTTTTTGAAATTTTATAATTTTCTATGTTTGTTTTTTTATAAATGTGTGAAGATTTTGTCTTTAACCAATAAACAGAACAAAGTGTTTATGTTTTATGCAGAACTTTTTCCTCTTCTCCAACATTTTCCATCATTCCTCTGCAAAGTTTAGGCTGGAGGGGAACACCTGCGAGCAAAAACACGTTAATGGACCCCCACAGGGTTCTGAACCACTGACCCAGTTTACATTCAGTTCATCTACTGGTAGATCCCTGACATAACTCTGCTTTTCACTGGAAACCCTCCAGTAACACAAATATCTGAGCAAGATAAACTTTAGTATTTTGTGTGAAATGTTTTCGCTCACCCTAAATTTAGTTTGAACAACTTTAAACAAACAATATTTGCAAACATTCCTAAATCATCCTGACTGGAGTTCTGAGCTAACAGCTAATGGGTGCTCTTTTCAAAATGGTCCAATCTCAGAAATCTTCTAGCGTTTCAGGAAGTTACTTTATAAAACATCAGTTTCACATCACACAGTTATTTAAATTGAATTCTGCAATCAAAAGTAGCAGCAAGTAGCTGGAGCAACCGTTACAGGATGCAAGTCATCCCATCTTACAATAAAATCTGCTTTTTTATTTTACTTTGCAAGGTTTGAATTCTATTTTTGCACAGTTTTAATGACTGTCTCAATATTTTATTCATTTTTGCACCTTTTCATTCTTTCTGTTCCTGTGTTTTTGTTTGGTGCTTCAACAAAGAATTCTTCCAGGATGGGATGAATTAAGTAACTTTACTTGTTGAGTTATGCAGTCTGGGCCACTTCCTGCAGAAACTGTAGTGCGTATTGAGGAATACTATAAAGGTTTGTTTCAACTATAATAAATCCCTGAGCCAGACACTTTGTGTGGAACACGAACACATCTGCACGCTGCTTCAGCTGCAGCCACTGTGAGCAGGGTTTGAACGTGCGCAGGGAAACGCCTTAACCACTCGGCCATCACAGCTGCTGGAACGATGAAAACTTAAACTTTTGTAAGAAAAAGGAGAACAACTATAGCAAAATGGTACAAACTGCATTTTTTTTGTTCAGTATAAACCGTATGTTTTCAGGCTATAAGGCGCATTAAATGAAATAAGTTCATTTTAACAGATTTTTGAGCGCCGTGTTCCACATAAAATCAGTTGGAGGTCAGTAAGCACAACCAGAATTAATACATAAGGCTCACTGTCAATTTATGAGAAAATTCAAGGATTTTAAGTGCGCCTTATATTCCAAAAAACATGGTATTTAAAACTACTTTGAGCTGAAAAAAAATATATATTAAAACATAGAGCAATGCAGGAATAATTCAAATTCAAAAATACTTTATTAATCCCAGAGGGAAATTAAGTGTTGTCGTAGCTCAACATCCTGGTTTCATTCAAGAGTTATAGATGCTGATAGCTGTGGGCAGGAAGGATCTCCTGCAGTGAAGCCGAAGAATCTGGCCACAGATACCGATCCGTCCATCCAGATCCAGCTTGCTGTCTGATCCGGCGGGACTCTCGGTCCTCCTGGGCAGCAGGATTGCCCGAATGCCGGACAGAATTCCTCCCTGAGTGATGGTCACTCCTCCCAGCAGTCTGCAGAGCTCCTCACGAGCCGAGTTTCTCACCAGCTCCAGGATCTCGGTGGTCAGGTACTCGAGCACCGCCGCCAGGTTGACGGGAATTTGTCCACGGCACCTCCTTTTCAACTCATGTGGGATTTGGGGCTGTAGATGAGATATTTGAGCTTTTGAGATGTTAATCAGCTGCTCCTTGTTGTTAAAAAAAAAACACCTCGTTGCCATGGTTACGCATCATAACAAATGTCCAAAAGTAAAAAGGTTTCAGTAAAAATCCGTCCAGCTGCACAGCGTCCGATACCAGAGGAAATAATCACCGTTAAAAAAAAGCGATATACATCCAGAAAAAAGAGGAATTAAAGTGTTCAAAAGCAGAAAATCATAATGAAAGTAACAGAGCTGCTCCAACATGCAGCCACCTCGAGCGGCGCAGTTCTAGAACTAAGTTCTAAGTTGATATTTCTTGGTTTTGCACATTTGTTGTGTTTATCAAACCTCAGCGATGAAGTTCCTCCGTTCTGTCACACTTAATGAAGCTGATTTAATAGAATAATGAAATTAGGCATGGCAGCAGGGAAGTGAGAGGCTGCAGTCCACTTCATGCGTGTGTGTGTGTGTGTGTGTGTGTGTGTGGTCTGACAGCTGTGGATAATCTCATTTGCAAAGCACAATTAATGGCAAGTGGTTTCATTTACTTGTAATGTGCAATGTCTTTCCTCAAGGGCAAAGAAATTTGGGAACTTTTTGTATGAAATCCTTCAGCGAGCTGCTCCGTTTCACTCAAACTAAATGTAACGATCGATTTATTGATTTGTTGCTTAAGATGATTGTTTTTCTGCTCCGTCTTCATTAGAGGGAGAGAAGGAGACTTGCTGTACCTTGTGCACGTTTTCATGGATCGATTTATTTGATTTTATTTACGTTTTTTCATTTGAACTCATAGAGGGCTCATAGTTTACTTCGACCGGACATTTTAGTTTTATTTTATGGACAGTTGGTGTTTATCAGTTTTCTGCTTCTTTTGGTTTTAACATTTATATCCATTATATATTTCAGACCACTTCAACTGGATTTTAGCGTCTGTTTTACGTCTTTCAGTTTTACTTTCTGCTCATTTGAAATTGTTAGATGTCTAATAACACTAATAATTTAAATGTCGGTCGCCACACCGCTTTTTCTTTCTGCTTTTCAAACCCCACAAGTGTTTCTTTGTGTTTTGACAGAAAAAGTATTTGTTGTTTGTTGTAAAACAGAAAATCCCAGAGATGAGACGAATAAGAGGTTTTCTTTGAAACAGGAAGATCATGCTTTTATAAAAACTGTTCAGAAAAGGACCCAGTCTAATCCGAGCAGGGGAGCACTTTGACCTGACATCAGATCATACGCTGCACAACAATGCTGCTGCATCTAATGAAGACCTACGACAAAATCTTTTTGTTTATTGCCACAACTCTTAATGTCTGTGTGTAAGTTTGTTGGTCATTAAGATAAGCTCCTGCTGAGGAGCAGTTGTGATTGTGCAGTGGTTAAGCGGTTAAGGTTTTAAATACAGCAAGATCCTACACCGGTTTGAACCCTGCAGAGAATGAAACTGCTTGAGTGCTCGTTATGTTTCAAAAAGGTAATTCATAACCACAGTACACGTGAACTTGTCCTACTGTAATCTACTCAGCAGTAAATTTTCTGGAACATTATGAAAGTTCAGAACATTTTCAGAGGAACTTGTGAACTTGCACGTGTTTTCTCTGTAACTCGTGTTTGCAGCAGCCGAGAGTTGTTGGACTTTGAATCATGATGGGCTTCGTTTTAAGAGCGAGCAGACCTCACATCTTTCTCCACGTCTTCATTTTGTTTTGCACAAATGATCAAAATCACAAACCAGCAAAGCTAAACGTCTGCCTTCAAAACCACCAGGCTGACTTTATGATTGTTGCCTCAGAAACACATGTTGATGTGCAATAAATCAGGAGAATCAAAGATATTAATAATCTTTGACAGGTTGTCTCCTGCCTGCCGCTGCCATGTCACTTCATCAGCTACCTGCTGTTGATGAATTGTTTTCAATTTGCTTTGGATATCATAATTAATTTAACTTGAATCAAAACAAACAAATTATATATATATATTTTTTTTTTATTATGAACACTGCTGATGAGCCTTTCTGGTGATATGACGTTTAATTGCAGGATTAAGATGTTAAAACGTTATTTCTATGTGCAAACTGAATTAACATGGTCAAGATATTTTCAGATTAGTGCGGTTTAACATGAAGTCTTCTCAGGGTGTTTTACCCCAAAAAATAAAACTAGAAAAGAGCAGAGCTGATATGTAAAGTTTAAATCCAGTTTCCACATCAGGCTAGTTCAAGATATTTTAATTAATCCTAAAAAAAAAATAATAATTAACTCCATACAATCAGGTTCAGTAAAGAAAACAACTAAAGGAAAGTTTTTGAGCACTATTTTTTTTATTTTTATATTTATTGTCATCAAATTAAAAAATATATGATATTTATCCCTTAAATATTGATGTTCTGTGTTTGTTTTTATTTATTTCCACATTTTTTTAACATTTCATGTTCAGCACCAGCAGGAGTTACATCTCTGCAGTTGCAAAGAATAAAGCCCCCACTTCTACGCTGAG